GCAAAGCGAGCCGAGCTGAACCGAGCCGTGCCGTACTGAGCCGTGCCGAGCTGAGTCGTACCACGCAGTGGAAAAGCGCCATAACAGAGCAAGTTCCGAGTCTGAGTTCTAAAAGGGAGAGACACTAACAGAAACACCGAAGTTCTGAGTCTCCAACCTGTTACAGGGAAGGCAGCAACAGAAACAACCCGTCCTGAGTCTTTTGTCCACAGAGACTGTAACAGACACAACCGTTCTGAGTCTCGGTCCTGTAAGGAGAGAGACAATAACAGATACCACGTTCTGAGCCTCCAGCCTGTGAGGAGAGAGATATTCTACATTTAGAGTCTTCGTCCAGCGAGACAACAACAGATGCAGCACGTCCTGAGTCTCCATCCTAGAGAGACAAATTGAATTGACCAAGTTCTGAGTCTCTAGCCCAGATAGGCAGAAGACACACAGACATCTGCAACAAGGTTAAGCTCCGGCGAGCAAACCTTCAATTCAAGGTACTTTTGCTTGTGTGTTCCAGACAAGGACCTTTTACACCTACTCCGGGGCCACATCTGCGTGTTCCAGATTTTAGGACCCTTTGATACTCCAGGAGATCAGCATCCTAACAGCACTTCGTGTTCAAGACTGTCGAAACGGATTCCTGCTCCTTTCCCCACTGCATTGTTACCAGCACAACCAGTGGATGAAGTCACCGCCACCGGACTGCTCACTCGACCACAGAGAACATAACTATCACTTATCCAAACCTCTTCCAGAGACCGTGGCATTGTTAGACATTATCAGTATATGATTTTTCTAATTTACATTAGATATTATATAGCTGATTGCTTTTGATTACAAATAATCTTTCACATATATGTTTGAGTTATTATCAGTATATGATTTTTCTAATTTACATTAGATATTATATAGCTGATTGCATTTGTTTACAAATAATCTTTCACATATATGTTTGATGCATAATAAGGTTCTTCACCTTATTTGTTTCAGAGTAGCAACAGTTTATCTTTCCAGATAACGTAGCTATGACATAGCAACATCCAACATAATCACTTGCATTTTATGCATTTTATTCCTATTTCATTTATGGTATTCATTTAGTAGTTGTGATTACTCTTGTCTATCCTTTGTTAATAAAATGTATTTTATTACACTTGTGTCTTCCTGGTACCGAACGACAAGACGTTTTTCGATACTCGATGGTATCGAGGCAATTCGGTCGGTGCCTAAAAAGTATCGAACTCGATACCCAGCCCTAGTTAGAGATCCCACCAATCTTTCTTATGTGATGTACTCATAACCACACCTTAAATGACACGTGATCCAAATATCATAACGTCATTGGTGATGTGAGTACACATCACTACACTATTTCGCCTCAGTAGGTTGGCAAAAGCAAATTCACTACACTCTTATGGATAGTATGTAGACTGAACTGACTGACGCTGATACATCTAAAACTGTACACTTGTCTGGCTTCAAATGTCACACCAGTGGAGTCAGTCACAGATGGAGCTTTTTTCCCTCAAGTGCTAAATGACTACTCATCAAGATCGCTTCTTTAAAGTTTTGAGATGGTTAAAAAAAATCAGCTCTTGGGAACGATTCCGCAACAGTCCTTGTGCATTTAGGCAGAAAGAGTGTCTGACGTTCTGTATCATCCCTAAGGCACTCCTGAACAACTGTGCAATGGAGTTACTTTAGAAAGGCATCCATCAAGAGGAATTCACATTACATGGTTTTAAGTGCTTGGTGTGCTTGCTCAATTGGATGTATAGCGCATTCAGGGAGCTACAAAATCTCATCAAGGCTGCACCACTGTGTTGACTCCAATAATGAGATGACGAGTGGAGAAAATTATACCACCAATCACAGAGCTCAAATTATAATTTAAGATCCACTGACTAAACCGGGTGAACCTCATTTGGAACATATTGATATTTCTATAATTCAGTATAACAGATCTTCACATACTTATGAAGTCTTTAAACTGTAATATATTTTTTCATTTCTCTGTTACTGAGTAACAGATTTAACTCAATTAGAGCTCTATTTTTAGCCACAGCTAGTTCAAATTACACATTAGTCTACAAATTGTCAAAGTTTCATTTGTTTTGTAAATTGTGCACTTGAGTTTTTAATATCTGTGCAACGCTTTCAATCTTTGCAGAATCTTTAAGAAGGAGTAACAGAACAGCTACAGTATGGCCTTGCTGTGATGAATGGCATTTTCATAAGAATTTATCACAGTTTTGTCATTTCAGCTCATATGATTTTGTTTTCTCGGCTCATTCACTTTGCTGTCAAAAAATGAGGTCTCACTCACAAAAAGACTATACAGTACTTATGAGAAAAACAAACAAACTCGCAATATGTGCATCTTAATACAGAATATGCTACACTGATTTTGAGAAGGAAACATGGTCACACATTATTTTAAAGTCAATTTTTTCACCATTAACAAACAATTAACTATGACTTTTATATATTTATAAAAATTAATTTG